TCAGTCCTCTGAGTACACTGGTGTTTGGCTCCTGACCCAGAGGTTTAAAAGAATGAATTTTAAAATTTTGAAAGATTTGTTTTACTTAAGATTATGAATGTTTTGCCTGCCTGTGGGCATGTACACTGAGCATGTGCCTATCAGATCCCCTGGAACTGGGGTTAAGGATGGTTGTGAGGAGGCTCCTGGGAGTCTGTGGGGGTGACTCCTGGCAGCGGGGTATATGGAGCCTGACATGGCCACCACCTGTAGCCAGGCAGGACTTCCGGAAGAGAAATGGGGATACCAACCCACCCACAAAACCTTCAACCCAAAATTTTTCCTGGGACAAGAAGTGCAGGAATAAACATGGGGTGGAGATTGAGGGAATGCTAAACCAATAACTGACCCAACTTGAGACCCCTCCCATGGGAGAGAGCCAACCCCTGACACTATTAGTGATACTCCACTGTGCTTGCAGATGGGCGTCTAGCATAGCTGTCTTCTGGGAGTCTTCATCTAGCAGCTGATGGAAACATGCAGAGACTCACAGCCAAACATTAGACAGAGCTCAGGGAGTCTTGGGGAAGAGTCTTGGGGAAAGATTGACGGAGCCGGAGGGACACCACAAGAAGACCTACAGAATAAACTAATCTGGGCCCATGGGGGCTCACACAGTCTGAACCACCAACCAAAGAGCATGCATGGGCTAGATGTAGGCCCCTTGTACATATGTATCAGATGTACAGCTTGGTCTTCATATGGGTCTCCTAAGAACTGGAGCAGGGGCTGTCTCTGACTCCGTTGCCTGCCTTTAGATTACTTCTCGCTAGCTGGGCTGCCTTATCTGGCCTCAGTGGGAAAGGATGTGCCTAATCCTGCTGTGACTGGATGTGCTGGGGCAGGTTGGTACCCATGGGGGGGGGGGGCTTCCCCTTCTCTGGGGAGAAGAGGAGAGAATGGGTGGAAGGGGTATGTAAGGGGGAGACTGGGAGGAGAGGAGGGAGGGGCGGTCTGTGATTAAGATGTAAAGTGAATAAATAAAGTAATTAATGAAGAACAACAACAACAAAACCACCACCACTGCCACCACCACCACCACCACCAAAAATGATGATTTTAAGCCACTATGTGGGAGCTGGGAATCAAACCCAATTTTCTGCAACCATCATCCCTCGAGCCCAGGAGGAAAAGAGTAAATGTATTGTGTATGAAGCTATGTGTATGGTGGCTTGTCATGGAACAATAGGAAGCTAATACAGTCCTCTAGTTGGGCTTCCCCTCCCCCTCTCATGACAGGTTTTGGTTTTGTTTTAGTTTTTAAGGCAGGGTCTTACTATGTAGCCCTGGCTAGCCAAACTTGCTGCATGCACCAGGCTGGCATCCAACTCAGAGAGATCTGCTTGCCTTTGCCTCCTGAGTTTGAGATAAAAGGTGTGCGCCACCATACTCAGCATCCCCTCCCCCTTTTTGTGTTTTAACTTGGTGCAAGCTAGAGTTACAGAGAGGAAGGAGCCTCAGTTGAGGAAATGCCTCCATGAGATCCAGCTGTAGGGCATTTTCTCGGTGATTTATCAATGCGGGAGGACCCAGCCCATGGTGGACGGTGCCATCACTGGGATGGTGGTCCTGAGTACTATAAGAAAGCAGGCTGAGCGAGCTACTTGAAGCAAGCCAAATGTCTATAAGCAGCACCCTTGATGGCCTCTGCATCAGGCCCCTGCCTCTAGGTTCCAGCCCTGTTAGAGTTCCTGTTCTGACACCCCCCCCCCCCCCCCCCCCCCCCCCCCCCCCCCCCCCCCCCGCCCAGTGAAGGTCTATGGTCTGGGAGTGTAAGCCAAACAAGCCCTTTCCTCCCCAACCTGTTTTTTGGTCATGGTGTTTTCATCCCAGAAATAGAAACCCTAAGACGCTGGCCTAGAACCCATTCTGGAGTCAGGCTGTGATTGAATTTACTATCTACCTTCCTACTTTGGTTTCCCTGGCTCTGGAATTATAGACATTTGTGACCAAACTCAGTTCTGCCTTCTTTCTCTGTAGTGTGTTCTCCACACCACAGGTGGGGTAGAGAACAATATAAAATATAAATATGATTGTCAGGGTTTGCTTAAAACTTTCTTATCAAGAAACTTCTCTCTGGATTTATTTATTTATGTTTGGTTTTTCCCTTCCTTCCTCCCTCCCTCCCTCCCTTCCTCCCTCCCTCCCTCCCTCCCTCCCTCTCTCTCTCTCTCTCTTTCTTTTGTCAATCTCTCCATGTACAGGTACATACCTTGGGGCTGTGTGTCATGTTTCTCTTCAGTATTCCTCTTTCTAAACCCTGGTTATTAAATCCAAAGCATGCATATGCTCTTACCTCTATTTTAAGTTCTGCTAAAGCTTCACTGTAACTCTGAGATGGAATTGTTTTCTGTGATGCAATCAGGGCCTGGGCTTTATTTGAATGGAGATTCTTAAGCAGGGAACTCCTTAGTGTACTGGTGTTCATTTGGTTGCATTTTTCTGATGCACACACACAGACACTCAGACACACACAGAGAGACACAGAGACATATGGACAGGCACACAGACACATACAAACACACACAGAGACATATGGACAGGCACACA